TTACTGATCCAAATATTAAAATTAATACGAAAGAAAAATAAAACGTTTTTATTTAACAGAAAAGAAAGAGAAAGTGCTGTTTATTGTTTTAAAAATAATTTCAAACTGAACCCAGAGTGACCTTTAACAAACGTCAATGGTCTTAAACCCGGGGTGAGTGGCTGGTGGTAAACATAATGACGTCATAGAATCAGTCATGGGGTGAACACAATGAGTACCCAGCGCGTGACCCTCACTCACTTAACATCGTCCTTCTTCCTGGATTCCAATCTAGAAAGGGAAAGTGGTTACAACGAAGCTAAATCATTATTGATGATTGAATCAATAACTACCACTCTCGATTGAGTGCATTATGTCGAGGAAAATCATGAGAAATTGCTATATCTGTTGCTGTTAATGTTGCATTTAAACTTCATTTAAAACACTATACGAACAGAAATTAGTATAATAAAATCTTACGTATTCTGGAAAATAAATTTATGAAATTTTCCTCATTTTCTTACCTCTATATAAGAATAAATTTTGGCAATTGAACTCTTAAAAATATTCTAGAGAATTACAGAAATATTCTAGAATAATATTTAGAATCTTAATGCATATTTTTAGAGTTTAAGAGGGTTTTTTTTTTTACTTGGAGCATCTTTTTAAAAATAATAATAATTGACACCACTTTCTCTGGGGAGGAGGAACGAACCATTTCCATTTTTCATAACGCGTGGCAAGCGGTTAGTGGGTTTTGTGGTTTAGAAAGGCATAATTTTCAAAGAAGAATGAAATTAAAGCGAAATCCTGTTCGATTCGATGGTTTGTAATCATTGTTAGAACAATAGCTTGGCGTGTTAAGCACAATGCAACCATTGAAATGGGACGAAGTTTTTTAGTCAGACAAATATGGATAATAAGCTTTAAGATGGATGACTCCATCAACAATAGATTTATCTGTCAATATGAACACGCCTGGTACTAATGGCTGATTTTTACGTCAGCTTATGGCATTTTTCATTTTGGTATTATCGAACTGGCACCCACGCTTCTGCATTCTTAAGAAATTGGGTTCAATTTAAGTAGCTCGGGGTTATCGAGGACACATTCTAGGCCTGGATTCTATGGGCAATAAACTTTTAAGATATTCTATTGGATAGCTGGAATATGCCCGAAGAACAATTATGGCGTTCAAATTTTAGTTAAATTAAGTAGTTTGTATGATAATTTTATGTACTTTTTGGGAGTTAATGTCCGGATTAAAGGAGAAATCCCTNAAAAAAAAAAAAATACAATTTAAAATTATTTTTTACTTCTAAAACTAATAACATCAGTAACTTTGACTAGTATAAAATAATTAAAATTTAATTTAAATAATAATAATAAAAAATAATAATAATTATAATGAAAATCTCGAAGGAAAATTATCATATGTATTTTAAAAACAACTTTATAAATTACTGTGTGATTTATCGATTCATCTTACAACTTACAACGATTGTTAAATAAGAGGACAATAATTAGGAACCGAAAGAAAGGAGGAGGAAAGTATTTAAAAGACTTCCTCTTAACGAGACAAGTTAAGCTAGTTAAGCTTAGAAATAAGTTGTGTTCAAGTTAAATTACTTCCTATACGAAGAACAGAGTGGCTATAAAATATAAATTTTATGAGGGGGGTTATAGTAGTAGTAGAAGAAGAAAAGAAGGAAAAAAAAAGTAAAGCACCCATTCCGTTCGTCGAAGAGATCCATCGATCTGTAACGCTAGCGAAGACTGAATATTTGTTAGTTTGATTTAACGATGCAGAACATGTCTGATATCTTGTTAAAGTTCTACCGGTCGGGTCAAAGAATCTATGAAAATAAAAACGACGAATAAACATATATTTATTCGATTTGTGTGTTTGAAATCAGCGCGTTTTCTTCCATAAAATTAACGATACCGAGTGGTAATTTGCATATCGGCGCGTTTAATTTGGATATAATTTTTCAATCCGCATCGTTATAATTTAATTTTAAGTAAAGCCCGATCTATAATTGACTTATTTACAAATTAAATTGTTTTCCACCCCTTTATATGTATAATATAATTTACTCCAAATTTATACATTTGTTTACCTTAAAATTGTATTAATATTACAATTAAAAGAATTATTTTTAAAGCTTTTTTTATAACGAAATATTCAGAAAATTGAAAACGAATTATCAGGGAAACAAAACAAAATCAACAGATTCTAACTGAAAGGTTATAGACCTTGTCTGAAAAGACCTTGACACTCTTTGTCATACGATTCCAGAAGCTGACTAGCCTGAAACAAGGAAAAAAAATTTTGGGGGGGAGGACACGTTCACTATGAAGTTTCTCTTCCGATAAACAGAAAAAAAAAATGCAAAAAAATAAAATAAAATTAATAGACTTCCTTTCCAGTGATTTCAATCACCATTTACAAGATTCAAAACATTTTTCGAAGATGGACAGTGGTAGAAATGCTATAAAAATTCTCTTATTTTCGATTAAATTAATTATAATAAAGTATTAAAAATAAAAATAAAAAAAGAATTTAACTTTTTCTTCTCTCGATTTTATGAAAAATACATTGAAATTTTTATTAGAAGCGTATTTTCACTTGAAAAAAAAAAAAAAAACATTAATCTATGCTATAAACTTATTTAAATATAAAAATAAATGATTCTATACGGGAGAAAAACTGTATGAAAATGTAAACTTAAATTAGAATTTAAAAAATACATATCTAAAAATTTAAAAAAGAGACTGTATTTTTAATAAATGAATTACTTATAAAATGTTTTTTAAAAAATGAGAAGTGAAGTTAAGTCCTACCTTGACTAGCAGATGACACTTTATGATAAATACACCACAGAAAACAGGCACAACAATAGCGACTGAGCTCTTTCACTTCCGTACTTGACAATGGCCTTGAATCCAGATGATCAGAGACTTTATACGTCGTTACGAGAACCAGTCAAGTGCCAATGAACATCTTGGCAGTCAGCCGTAACTTCAGGGTTGGGAGTTGTTCCGGGTGCACACTTTCTCCTTCTGATACACATTTATCGAAATTATTTCGTTTTGTATAACATTCTTTAACGCTTCCACTTACTTATAGCGGATTTGCTTACAGTTTCTTATTAATTCTGCTTTCTTTTCTTCTTATGTAAAAAAAAATGGACGACAAAACCCCGTTACGCAAACACGTGTTTTATTGCAACTATACAGTTAAGTTTTAGCGAATTTATTTTAAAATGATTAAAAAAAATTAAATAATTTAAGATTATATTAAATTTTTAGTAGGACCGAGACAAAATTAGTAAGAATAATTTGCTTTCTAAACATTTTTCATGCTTCTAGGAGCAGATTTATAGTCTATCATTCCAAGCACTTACCTCTTTCAGAATTTCTTCTTATTTTAAAAAATTATATGCTATTTTAATGCTTTATAACTCAATTTTGTATATATATATATTTTTAAACTTCAGACTGTTATAGAAATTTTTATAACAAGCTAATATATGGCACAAGTGCATTTTAAGTGTCTTAATATATTCGAATGATTTAAATTAACTATAAGGCTCATTGCAATTTAAACACTTTAAAAGTACTTAGTAGGGTGTATTATTAACTTCAATCTTCCATAAAGTTATCTCTCTTTCTCTCAAAAGCCTCAAATTACCATGAAAATTACTTTTATAAGATACTCTACGAAGCAACCATTAACATTACATCGAGTTTACTGATCCAAATATTAAAATTAATACGAAAGAAAAATAAAACGTTTTTATTTAACAGAAAAGAAAGAGAAAGTGCTGTTTATTGTTTTAAAAATAATTTCAAACTGAACCCAGAGTGACCTTTAACAAACGTCAATGGTCTTAAACCCGGGGTGAGTGGCTGGTGGTAAACATAATGACGTCATAGAATCAGTCATGGGGTGAACACAATGAGTACCCAGCGCGTGACCCTCACTCACTTAACATCGTCCTTCTTCCTGGATTCCAATCTAGAAAGGGAAAGTGGTTACAACGAAGCTAAATCATTATTGATGATTGAATCAATAACTACCACTCTCGATTGAGTGCATTATGTCGAGGAAAATCATGAGAAATTGCTATATCTGTTGCTGTTAATGTTGCATTTAAACTTCATTTAAAACACTATACGAACAGAAATTAGTATAATAAAATCTTACGTATTCTGGAAAATAAATTTATGAAATTTTCCTCATTTTCTTACCTCTATATAAGAATAAATTTTGGCAATTGAACTCTTAAAAATATTCTAGAGAATTACAGAAATATTCTAGAATAATATTTAGAATCTTAATGCATATTTTTAGAGTTTAAGAGGGTTTTTTTTTTTACTTGGAGCATCTTTTTAAAAATAATAATAATTGACTTCAACAATTTTGTTTATAAAGTATTATTTGTTTAAATACAAAATATCACATTTTCTTAAGTATCAACATAATAAAAAGTAAACAAATAGTATTATTGAATTAATGTCGGGGGCCGCAACTAATTGCCTCGAGGGCNAATTTTTTTAAAGTTACTTTATGAAAAACAAAATTAAAAAAATTAACGAAATAATTATAATGTACACAGTTTAATTAATTAAAATATTTAAAAGACAACTTTATAGTGAAAGAGCATTCAAGCTTCGTATAGAATATATACATATGTATTTTTATATGGAACAAGTCAAGTATATCAACAGTTCTGAAAAATCCTGTTATAGAAGCATGTAGCAGAGCGTAAACCGAATAAAACAATATAAAAAAAAAACTCTTTATTTTTTAAATTTTACATGACCTTAAACTAGTTGTGGTTTTAATTCACCGCTTAGAATCATGTTCAAAAAGTACAGGAGGCCCGAAATCCATTTAACCGCACGAATCGCGCGTTATAATTTGTGCAATTTTTATAAAAATTAAAGCGGCATTCTAATCTTTAAACGGTCAACTAAATTTGGGGCCATCCTGCATAAGTAATGGAAGAACTTACCCTCTTTCATCGATGATTTCAAATGTACTCCTGGCATCTTTAGCCATTGCCACGCAACTTCTTGCGAATATACCGTAAGGAGCTATAAATAAATTAGTAGTTAGCATACAATTGAAATTATTGTTAAACAATACAACAATGGTTGTTTACTATTTTCGGGGATTTTTATATGAAACGTCAATTTGTCGCCGATCCTGACAGTCGATGCTTCTCTTCCGTCAGCTCCAAAAATAACAATTTTTGGTTGTGGTGCTTCTGGTGCTGATGTCACTTGCAACATGTCAGGATCTCTAAGAGTGTAAAGGCTGCTGGTAATTTTTTTTAAAGATACAGTTTCTGTACATAATTCTGTTTAAATTGTGTAAGAAAATGCTTACCTCACTGGCATCATTCCGAATGTGACGTTACGTGAAGTTGTTTCGTACGTACATCGAACGTTGTAGACTTTATCAGCCTTAGTTAATACCACGTTGTGATGTTGTAGGACTACTGTGTTAGTGTATACACCACCCTTCGAGTAAAGGAAAACGTTATATACAGCTATAAAAAGTAGAAATTTAATTGTACGTTTTTAATTTCTTACCATAGATTGGGTATTGCAATCTTGCCCTGTTAGAGAAACATCCAGTTCGAATTTCTGACCATTGTGTATATTCGAATTGCATGTTTCGCTCCTTCCCAATGCGTACACGCGACCGTGGAATGGACGATTGGTTTGTACAAAAATAACAATTTTCTTATCTGTACATTTTATGGATACTGTAAAGATTAAAAAAAAAATCAGTAAACACATTGCATATTTTTGGTATAAAAAAATAATAATGTTATTAAAATCCTTCTCGAAGCATCGTTAAGAAGAGATTGTTTTCTAAACATGTCACGTCTGTCAAAGTAGCGTGACGTGATGTCTACTGCTACTGAATTACTCGGAAGCTGTCCTATCTCATGAAATAACAATTCGTGGCGTAGACTTATTTTCGAACACGAATTAATTAAAAATTCAATTGTTATTTTGACGTGAGCTTCCTGTACAACTTTGCATTTATGACGAATCTTCGCTTAAAGAGATAGCAACTCTACTGTATCAGAACAAGTTGCACGGTTAGATTTTTACTCTTCATACATCAACGTATGACAGGAAACTGGTGACAGCTAACGGGAGGAAGAGGATTTTACTTCTAAACATCGGTTCCATCACGTTACACTTCACAAATAAATCATTTCTTCGCGTTTAAATTGCCCAATTTTCATGTTTGATGCAAAAAATTTTTTGTTTACTTAACACAAATAAATCAAAATGGTTGTAGTAATTTTACACGCAAGGTTAAACGCGAATTAATCGGAAGACATTATTATAATTGTTTTCCATTAAAAAAAACAATTATTAAGTGTATTTTTCTTATGAATTTACCATCGTAACAAACTCCATAGGCGTCACATGATGGATCTCTATCCTCGCTTGGGGTCGAAGATGTAGTAGTTTGTTGAGTTACATCCGCAAAAACTGAAGGTGACGTTTTGGCTTCTGCACTAATTGCTGTCGAGTCTATAAAAGAAAAACAATAAGACTTCGTGATGCATCTAGAAAGATAATGAATAATACAAAGAAATCTAACTCACTGTCGCATATAGATTCTAGATATACTCCACCAGTTTGCGACAGATCTATAATTGTTTTCGATACTAAAGACTGAAATAAGTCAGCCCCTTCAGGAAACGTAAAATGATCTAGATGATATAAAATACAAGTTGATTTTCCAGGTCTAGAATCGGGACTGAAGAAAAGCGATCTGCAAACAAATGCATTCTCCATGGTACATTGTCGCAAACATTCATCTCTACTACTCACCTATAAATAAAAAAAAAAAAAAAAAAAAAAATACAAAAAAAAAAAAGACTTTACACTCTACAACATTAAAATTCAATCTTAAGTTATGATAATTAATTGTAACCTACCAGAACCTGTTTGTCTGGGTAATAATTCCTGCTGACAAAGTGGCGAATCATAGCTTGAGGAAGTCCTAATTGAGTATATCCATAATAACGTCGATCAAAACACACCTGGTTAGCTAAAAGAAAAAGGAAACGTGTTCAGACGTTTACATTAATTACTCGTGCCATAAATAATTCTACAATTATCAGCTATTAATTTTATCATTACTTACCTTGCAAGCAAGAGTTTTCGAAATAATCTACCCCCTGTGAGTCCACCATTTGTACTTGTACTCCCTGAGATCTTAAATCAAATTCGCTAAGATGACACTCCAGCGTTACGTAATTAAATTCAACGGACCGACATATAAATCGTTCTTCGTTAGCGCATGCTGATAAACACGACTCGGGATCACTCGTAAAAACTATGGCATTATCCAAGCCTTTCAACATCCTGTTTGGGTATCTCTCGTAGGACCAAAGCCTATCGCATGTTTTCTCTAAAAACATTAAAAAAAAAATAAAATATGAACGTTTGCAATGCGATTGCAAAGGGGTTGAAAGTGAGAAGTCCGCGTTACCAGCTTTCAAGTACATCTTGATGAGATAGTAAGTGTTGGTTGCACTACGCGGTGCCACAGAAGGTTTCCTGGCTTGGGTTTCATTATGTAGATAGCAGGTAGTTTCTACTATGGGTGCTAACGGTGTAACCACGTAACGAAAAGTGGCTGCTACGCAATCTTGTTCTTCTCGACACCATCTTCTGCATTCGTAAAGTGATAAATTTCTTAACGTGTAGTAAGTAGTCGAGGAATATTCCAAATTCGTCATCTTCAGGAAGGTTACTCTAGCCGCTGTAACGAGTTGAAACTGATATTTACATTGTTACAGAATTACTCACCATTAATAATTATAACCGTGACACGCATATTTATGAATTTTAAAGTCATTAAAATTATGTTTTGATCCGCCCACAATTTGAGATATGCTAAGAGATCTGTTATTGAATTTTTTTCATGTGAATGATGATAGTGATCTCCCGTCGTTAAGTCATGAATGACACAGTTATCCGAAAACGGCAAAGAGTCAATGACACTTTTCACTTGAATGACTGTAGCAGTTTCACTTCCTCATTCATTTAGTGCTGTTGTCTGCTATACTAATTGCAATAGATTATTTTATTGAATATAAACCCGTATATTAACATTATTTAATACAATTTTTGTTATGCAGACTCACGATTATTGTATATTTTAATCACCTTGTTTTCAATGATTCGATTTTGGTATCTACAATCGACTTACGGTCTCGTGTATAATTTTTGACATTTTTAACGCCATTTAAGTAAGTTATTTTTAAGATTTCAAGAAAAACGTTAGTGTGATGTGTCCTTTATCTGATGATATAAGTTTTATTGTTTGTATTATATTATTGTAGATATAAAATGGACATATCTATCGAGATTACGCATTCATGTGGTTAATAATTGAGTGTAAGTGAATTTAAATTAGGAATTATGTTAAATATGGAAAAAAATTATATAAAATTAAATGATTTAAATATATTTTTGTATTATCTTGACACTCACCTGTCGAAATAGAGATGCTAAATATTGCGACATATATAAGATTGGCAATAGGGTTGGAAATCATATTAGATTTTTGTCCTGTTCCAACCCACTTCTCTCTGTTCAAAAATAAGAAAAACTTATTAATTTACATAACTATAAATTAAAAATTAAAAGAGGCAGTGACAACATAAAGAGTCAATCACCTTCAAATAACAAAATAGTAAAAAGGAAAAGCCAAACCCATTCAAATTTATAATCATGTTTAGTGAAAGCCTGTCAAATACTTAATTGTTTACATACAATTACTGTCTCAAACTTGTTGGCAATTTTCTCATAAGAGGGTTTACATGAATCATTTGAATCACATCAAGTTTATTTCTAAAAGAAAATTCCTACATCCTGTTTTTCCCTTCTCGTTTCTATTATTATTCTTTTGTTTACACTCCATTTTTTTAACTTTGTGATTGTCCCAAGATGATTGTCATGTAGACAAGTCCACTGTTTTTTTTTTTTTTTATGGTAGCACATCAAACTGAGAAGCGTAAAATTTCACGCACTTATTTAAAATTCATAAATTATACTGTACGAGTGACAATTCAACCTTTTCGATTTAGTAGAGAACACAGATTTGCATATGAGTTTACAGGAAATGCATGCTCGATTTCAATCCATCAGACAAAGTGCTAGATTTATCCATTTCAATATACAAAAAAAAAATTCATAGTTTTTATTAAAAACTAAGAATTTGTATAGTAGTAACAACAATGCTACCTTTCGATTAAAATTTTTGCAAATTAAGAGTTTAGAGGATGCGAAATGCTTCGTTTGCGACCCACTAGACAAGAGCCAGACATATAATTTTCACCCTCCACTACCGAAAGGATTGAAATTTCACACACACTTTAAAAACTAGAAATCTATTACACATTAATGGCAATTGAACTCTTTCCATATATCAGAACTCGTGGATTTTCATGAGCCTTACAGGAAGTGCGTGCTCCATTGCAAACCCATCAGACAAGAGCTAGACTTATAATTTCTTTCTCCACAATCAATCTACATCATTAAAGTAGTTTGTAGCGATCGAATCATCTGCAGATTTAATTCGACAACTAATCCATATCCGCCTGACATTGATTTGTGATCAGTCGCATGATAGAAATCATGTTATTTCTTAAGTCCCGCTACAGTAGCTAGATGAAGTTACGGTCAGCAGACATTCCTAATAATCTCAGCTAACTTCAGAGAGCGTTATCCGATCTATTGACCTTGCGTGCAAATCGACACCAATGCCACTTTTGTTCTGCCCACTCCGTTACTTCTCTTAGCATCCATTATTGTCCATAGCGGGATGAATGCCATAACAAAAATCGACCCGGTAAAAAAAAAAGCAGCTTCGTACTGTTTATACGAAAGAGAATGACAGGTCTTCGAGTTTGACTAATGCAGCAATTGTTTTCCTGACTCATTGATAAATGTTGGACATTCATTTGCTTAGATGCACTGCTCACCTACCCATTAAAATTTTTTTTTTGCACTATATTTGTTTACTTCCTGCCAACGGTGAACGATCTTTTTATGAGTAGTTTGGAATTTTAGCGACTTAAAAAATGCAACATTCCAAGAATCTTGATGATGTAATTCGGTATATTAATTGATATTTTGAATCCAATTAGCCGTTAAAATGATAATTTTAACATATGAACAGTTCAGAAAGTGTATTATTATTATTATTATTATTATTATAAAGCTTTTAAAAAAATTGCAATTTTTAATTAAAATTTTGTGATTTTTTTATTTTTGTCTAAAAGATACGTTTCTGTTGTATAATCGTGGATAAATTTAACAAATTGATATTTTTTAAAATGTCAGAAATTGACGTTTATGTCGCCGAAACTGATTCTTTTTGAAAAATTGACATTTTTAAATTGTCAGTTTAAAAAAAATTCAATTTCTTTTCGAAAATTGACAAAATAAAAATATCAATTTCAACAAAGAAAATAAATTGACATTTTAAAAAAAATCAAAAATGCATTTTTTTTCTTTTTATTTTTACTAATATTTTGACAGCGGCTTTAAATTCACTCTTCTAATTTTACTAAATTTTGCAAATATTAAAAAAAAAAAAAATACAATTTAAAATTATTTTTTACTTCTAAAACTAATAACATCAGTAACTTTGACTAGTATAAAATAATTAAAATTTAATTTAAATAATAATAATAAAAAATAATAATAATTATAATGAAAATCTCGAAGGAAAATTATCATATGTATTTTAAAAACAACTTTATAAATTACTGTGTGATTTATCGATTCATCTTACAACTTACAACGATTGTTAAATAAGAGGACAATAATTAGGAACCGAAAGAAAGGAGGAGGAAAGTATTTAAAAGACTTCCTCTTAACGAGACAAGTTAAGCTAGTTAAGCTTAGAAATAAGTTGTGTTCAAGTTAAATTACTTCCTATACGAAGAACAGAGTGGCTATAAAATATAAATTTTATGAGGGGGGTTATAGTAGTAGTAGTAGAAGAAGAAAAGAAGGAAAAAAAAAGTAAAGCACCCATTCCGTTCGTCGAAGAGATCCATCGATCTGTAACGCTAGCGAAGACTGAATATTTGTTAGTTTGATTTAACGATGCAGAACATGTCTGATATCTTGTTAAAGTTCTACCGGTCGGGTCAAAGAATCTATGAAAATAAAAACGACGAATAAACATATATTTATTCGATTTGTGTGTTTGAAATCAGCGCGTTTTCTTCCATAAAATTAACGATACCGAGTGGTAATTTGCATATCGGCGCGTTTAATTTGGATATAATTTTTCAATCCGCATCGTTATAATTTAATTTTAAGTAAAGCCCGATCTATAATTGACTTATTTACAAATTAAATTGTTTTCCACCCCTTTATATGTATAATATAATTTACTCCAAATTTATACATTTGTTTACCTTAAAATTGTATTAATATTACAATTAAAAGAATTATTTTTAAAGCTTTTTTTATAACGAAATATTCAGAAAATTGAAAACGAATTATCAGGGAAACAAAACAAAATCAACAGATTCTAACTGAAAGGTTATAGACCTTGTCTGAAAAGACCTTGACACTCTTTGTCATACGATTCCAGAAGCTGACTAGCCTGAAACAAGGAAAAAAAATTTTGGGGGGGAGGACACGTTCACTATGAAGTTTCTCTTCCGATAAACAGAAAAAAAAAATGCAAAAAAATAAAATAAAATTAATAGACTTCCTTTCCAGTGATTTCAATCACCATTTACAAGATTCAAAACATTTTTCGAAGATGGACAGTGGTAGAAATGCTATAAAAATTCTCTTATTTTCGATTAAATTAATTATAATAAAGTATTAAAAATAAAAATAAAAAAAGAATTTAACTTTTTCTTCTCTCGATTTTATGAAAAATACATTGAAATTTTTATTAGAAGCGTATTTTCACTTGAAAAAAAAAAAAAAAACATTAATCTATGCTATAAACTTATTTAAATATAAAAATAAATGATTCTATACGGGAGAAAAACTGTATGAAAATGTAAACTTAAATTAGAATTTAAAAAATACATATCTAAAAATTTAAAAAAGAGACTGTATTTTTAATAAATGAATTACTTATAAAATGTTTTTTAAAAAATGAGAAGTGAAGTTAAGTCCTACCTTGACTAGCAGATGACACTTTATGATAAATACACCACAGAAAACAGGCACAACAATAGCGACTGAGCTCTTTCACTTCCGTACTTGACAATGGCCTTGAATCCAGATGATCAGAGACTTTATACGTCGTTACGAGAACCAGTCAAGTGCCAATGAACATCTTGGCAGTCAGCCGTAACTTCAGGGTTGGGAGTTGTTCCGGGTGCACACTTTCTCCTTCTGATACACATTTATCGAAATTATTTCGTTTTGTATAACATTCTTTAACGCTTCCACTTACTTATAGCGGATTTGCTTACAGTTTCTTATTAATTCTGCTTTCTTTTCTTCTTATGTAAAAAAAAATGGACGACAAAACCCCGTTACGCAAACACGTGTTTTATTGCAACTATACAGTTAAGTTTTAGCGAATTTATTTTAAAATGATTAAAAAAAATTAAATAATTTAAGATTATATTAAATTTTTAGTAGGACCGAGACAAAATTAGTAAGAATAATTTGCTTTCTAAACATTTTTCATGCTTCTAGGAGCAGATTTATAGTCTATCATTCCAAGCACTTACCTCTTTCAGAATTTCTTCTTATTTTAAAAAATTATATGCTATTTTAATGCTTTATAACTCAATTTTGTATATATATATATTTTTAAACTTCAGACTGTTATAGAAATTTTTATAACAAGCTAATATATGGCACAAGTGCATTTTAAGTGTCTTAATATATTCGAATGATTTAAATTAACTATAAGGCTCATTGCAATTTAAACACTTTAAAAGTACTTAGTAGGGTGTATTATTAACTTCAATCTTCCATAAAGTTATCTCTCTTTCTCTCAAAAGCCTCAAATTACCATGAAAATTACTTTTATAAGATACTCTACGAAGCAACCATTAACATTACATCGAGTTTACTGATCCAAATATTAAAATTAATACGAAAGAAAAATAAAACGTTTTTATTTAACAGAAAAGAAAGAGAAAGTGCTGTTTATTGTTTTAAAAATAATTTCAAACTGAACCCAGAGTGACCTTTAACAAACGTCAATGGTCTTAAACCCGGGGTGAGTGGCTGGTGGTAAACATAATGACGTCATAGAATCAGTCATGGGGTGAACACAATGAGTACCCAGCGCGTGACCCTCACTCACTTAACATCGTCCTTCTTCCTGGATTCCAATCTAGAAAGGGAAAGTGGTTACAACGAAGCTAAATCATTATTGATGATTGAATCAATAACTACCACTCTCGATTGAGTGCATTATGTCGAGGAAAATCATGAGAAATTGCTATATCTGTTGCTGTTAATGTTGCATTTAAACTTCATTTAAAACACTATACGAACAGAAATTAGTATAATAAAATCTTACGTATTCTGGAAAATAAATTTATGAAATTTTCCTCATTTTCTTACCTCTATATAAGAATAAATTTTG